TACCCAGAAACTGACAGTCCACGCCATGCTGGAGACACGACAAAGAGCAGCATCAGGGGTTACATGGGAGCCATGCTTCTAGAAATTGTGATTGGGAGAGAAGGCTGTGTGGTTAAGAGTACTCGCTGATCTTCCAGAGGATCCAATCCCAGCACCCATGTCAGGCAGCTCACAACGGCCTGTAATTCCAGCCGGAGAGGATCTGTGTATTGTGTAGTTGGCATTTTCTTTGGGCCATCAACCAGCTCCCAAATAAAGACACGGAGACTTATTATTAATTATGAATGCTCAGCCTTAGCTTAGGCTTGTCCCATTAGCTCTTTCAACATAATTTAATCTGTTTCTATTCATTTACATTTTGCTTCAGGGGTTTTGACCTTTCTTTCATTTTTTTATGTCCTACTTTCCTGCTTCCTCTGTGTCTGTCTGTCTGTCCCCTGGAGTCTCTCTGTCATCTCTTTTTCTTTCTTCTTCCCCTGAGCCTAAATTCCTCCTCCTACTTTCTCTCCATGCCTGCAAGTCCCACCTATACCTCCTCCCTCCCTATTGGCCATTCAGCTTTTTATTAGACCAATCAGGTGCCTTAGGCAGGCAAGGTAAAACAGCAACACATCTTCACCTAGTTAAACAAATGCAACACATCTTTGCATAATTAAACAAATATCCCTCAACGGATCTGAAGCCCTCTTCTGGCTTTTGTGGGTACCTGCGCGCGCATGCGCGCGCGCGCATACACACACACACACACACACACACACACACACACACACACACACTGCTTTTTTGCTCAATGGTGGTCCTAGTTCCATTTCTGTTGCTGTAATCAAATATCCTGACAAAAAGCAACTTAGAGGAGAACAGTTTTATCTTGTCTCGGGACTCCAGATTATAGTCCATCCAAGTAGGGCACTCACAGCAGCATGAGCTGTGACAGCTGGTCACTTCACATCCACAGTCAAGAGCAGAGAGAAATGAATGCACTCAGGCTTGCTTGCTTGTGCTCAGCTGTTTTTACTCTCATACCATTCAGGACCCCTGCCTAGGGAATGGTGCTGCCCACAGTGAGCTGGGTCATCCCCCATCAGTTAACAGATAATCCCCCACAGGCCAGCCTGATCAAAATTGACCCTTATTACAACTCTCTTCCCAGGTGATTCTAGGTTGGGTTGACAATTAAAGCTAATACCACAGTGGTGCAGTCTGTACTTACATGTACAAGGAGGCCCAGGGTTCAACTCCCAGAAACAAAATGAAAACATCAAGAGCACATAACCAAAAAACTATTAAGCAAATAAACATGCTGTGTTTATTTTAGACAGTAGTCGAATGTCACTCAGGAGAAATATATTCTTTGGACTTCAGTGACAATTGTGATCACGGCAGAATCATTCCCAAGCAACATCCAGAGTTGTGTGACTTGGTGTTTCCAGCAAATTCTACCTGTGAAGTGCAGGCTCCCTCTCCCTAACACTCACCAAAGCACAAGATGCATGTGAAGGTGTGAGAGAGACAATTCAAAACAATCCCCAAATTCACCTAATTACTTCATACATTCAGCTTCTGTCCACTAACATTCAGTCCTTGCTGCTGTCCAAATGAAGAGCAAGACAATCAGAAGGCCGATTCATCCCCTGAGTCTCTCTGTTATGATCAATCCACATTTGTCTATTATTTATTAAGATATAAATTGAGGAAATACACTCACAAATATAGAACCAAGTAAACAGATGAAGTCGTCCTCTGTTCTGATCAGGAGCAAATCTACCTGGCAGGCAGCAGGGAGAAGGAACTCATGACCCTTCTCTCTCTCCTCTTAAGAAGTCATGTACAATGGCAGGAAGCACCGCCTCCTTCAGGTCCTATAGCCCAAGGTCATGGGCAGAGCAAATACCACTACATTTCTCCTTTTTGTCTAAACAGGAAAGTTCTAAACTTAATGCAAACTATATACAATAAGAATGATTATCAAGTATTGTCCAGGAAAAACAAAGGGTAATAACATAAACAAAAATGGAACTACAACCAATAAGAACAACATCAAACAAGAAAGACATGCTGAGTCCAGAATGTCCAGAACATAGGTAAATGGCAAATTACTGAGATTACTCCAATAGCTGTCCTATCCTGAAGATTCTAATTCTAGTACTTAATATGTTCTAGCTAAGATACGAGAAGACTGGATTTCTTAATACACAAACTGGGGAAATACACTCATGAATACAGAACTGAGTAAACAGCTGAAGTTGTCCTCTGGTCTGACTGGGAGCGAATCCACCTGGCAGGAAGCAGGGAGAAGGGACTTGTGACCTTTAAGAGGTCATGTACAACAGCAGGAAGCACCATCTCCTTCAGGCCATAAAGCCCAAGGTCACGGGTGGAGCAAACACCACTACATCTCTCACTGAATCTGGACTTACCATTGGCGAGACTGGCTGGCCGGAGGGCCCAGAGGATCCTCTCTCCACCATCCCAGTGCTGGGATTAGACACATGCCGCAGTGCTTGGCTTATTGATTTACTTTGAGTTCTGGGATAAAAATCAGGTCCTTGTGCTTCTGTACAAGCACTGAGCCCCATCCCCAGCCACCCTGAGCCTCTAATAATGATAGACAACCCAAATAAGTCCAGATTATTCTAGTTCTTCCTGTGTGTCCATCTCCTGTTTTCTTGAATTTCTTTTATGATGAAGGATCCATGCATAAACCATTGGGTTTTTTTTTTTTTTCAGTTAAATGTCACCACACTAAATCAAAGTTCTAAAGTACCTGTGTGCAACTTGTTTACATACATGCATACACACACACACACATCTGTTAGGTTCAACCTCAAGCAATCTCCAAGATTCAAATTACAGTCATTAAGTGCTCTCAGTGTCACTTGGTAGCAAAGTGTGTGCTTAGCATGCATTTGACCAAGTACAAAAATAGACACATCAAGTGTTTTTCTCAAGTCAGCAATTTCAGTTCACCCAGCATCTGTGGACTGAGTGTCTGCACCTGGTGCTGGCTGTCCACGTCTGCTTAGCACACCACCATCTCTGTTCACCACCTTTCTTGCTTGTCAGCACCCCAAGCATACTTCTGTGGCAGGCTGGCCTGGTGGTTGCCGCTCTCTAGTTTGACATGCTCTTCCAGAGCTGTGCTATTCATACCCCAATCTTTTTTTTTTGTTTGTTTGTTTTGTTTTTCGAGACAGGGTTTCTCTGTGTAGCTTTGCGCCTGTCCTGGAACTCACTTGGTAGTCCAGGCTGGCCTCGAACTCACAGAGATCCGCCTGGCTCTGCCTCCCGAGTGCTGGGATTAAAGGCATGCGCCATCGCCGCCCGGCTCATACCCCAATCTTATTCACGCTTCCTCCTTGGATGAAATAAGAGTGTCCCTCGATGTCTTACACATGTACATGCATGTGTGTGCGCACACACACACACACACACACCTGTTCATCCTCTCCTGTCCTTCACAATGTAATACACACTAGAGCCTGACACACACACAGTGATATGCTGCATATAGTAACAGCAGACCACACACCAGTGTGGTCCCAGATGCTCACTTAAGGACGTTGAAGCTGAGTGTGCATAAGTACATCTGTGACGTCTACACAAAACCAACAATGCAATTCTCAGAACACATCTCCATCATCAGGTGACATGTGACAGGATTCATCTCTGCTGGTGTTCACTGTCTTCCCCCACCCAATAGAATCTGCTATAGAGCCAGGGAAGTATGGGAGACCAGCTCCCACCTTTTAAAGGGTTCCTGTGAGGAGGAGAGAGGGATATGAAACTTGTAGATAGAAAGATAACGAAGAGGAGAAAGACAGAAACACAGAATAGCTTCGGGAGGACCTGGGTCAAAACCCAGTGGCCTCTTCTGCCTCTTCAAAAGGGATTTTTATAACAATGCCAAGGGGTGGGGCAAAAGACCTCCCCCTTTCAAGATAAAAGCGCATTGCACAGCCAAGTGCAGGCCCTTCCAAACACCTGGTAACCACTCCCGTGGTCAAATCATCCCCTTATGCAGCCCTGCTGGGTAAAGCAAGCTCAGATTCTCAGACCCTGAGTAAGTTCTCACTAGGAAACCTCTGTGGGTCTCTACAGGGAAGGACATCATTTGTCCACCGTTCCATCCCTGGCACAATGAGCATAATAAAAAATCATCATGAACGTCTTCCTGGTTTGTGAGGCATGTACAGACAGACAGCACTGTTCAACTGCTTCACAGCCAGGAGAGGATGAGGCAACATACATGACACACGCTGCCTTATAATGTTGTTGGGACAAAGGGCCATGAGACTACAGATTTTTGAGCCACACTGTGGCAAGGGTGGAATGTGGCTGGCCTATCTACTATTGATTTTATGCCTGCATGAGAGTCACTGCCCCAATCAGTAGATTCAGAGAACTACAAACAGGTACACCATCACCCAACCATTTTGTCTTTGTCCTGGGGGGTAACCACTGCTTGCCCTGGAGTAGAAGGGAACTATTTATATTTACTGTAACTATTATCCATCTTGACTCTGTGTCAAAATCTGTTCCCCAGTAAGGTCTGGTCAGTTGTCCTCAATAAGCCAATTAAGAGTTGAACTGATAGTGAAAAGCAAAACAGATTTATTCAATGTGGCCACACTGGGGAGAGGGCCAAAGAGATGCAGAGGACTGCCTTATAAGTCATCTTTATGGTCCTGGAGTTTGATCAAAGTTTTAATAGAGAGACAAGGATATGCACATCTAAGCAGTCCCAGGTCAAGCTGTGGTCCTGCCCACCACTGACTCTTCACTGTCTGTCCGGTTGTTAGAACTGTGTGCAACTGGTTACTGGGAAACAAGTCCTGCTCGGGCTGGTTCCTTTTCCTTCCCCTAACATGAGATTCCTGGGGACATTTCCATTTCTTTGGGGCCATTGTTTTAACAGTCTGATAGGTTGAGACACAGCGTCTCTTTATAGTATTTTCATTTCTGCCAAGCCAGTTACAAAACCCTTACTGTGGAAGACTCACTGGAGCTTGAAGAACCAGCTCTCAGTAACTCTGGAGCATGACAGTCACGACAGCCCGAGCCCAGGGCTGGGAATTCGCTAAACAGTGTCACTTTCTGCCCAGCACATTCGCCTCGGCCACCAGCAAGCGCGTCACACCTTCAAGCCACCCTCTTCCCCCCGGAAATCCACAGGGTCGCAGTTCTCCGTGACCCTAGGACGACCAGGGACCGCAGCAGACGCTGCAAAGAGCCATTCCTGCGGCGTTTCGGCAGCTGCGCAAGCGCAGAGTTCCGCACGAGCAGCTCGCGCGCCCGCCCACTGCGGTTAGGTTTAGCCAATCGCCGGCGCCGCTGCTGACGGAAGTGAGTCGTGCGTTTCTGCGGGTCAGCCGACCCATTTCCGGCAGCCGGTGGTCCGGCGGAGGCGTTCCGGGTGGTCCACCCCCGGGAAGCTTTCTCACGGTCCGGGCCGAGGCGGCGCAGGTCTCGGCCCCTCGCAGAGTTCCGAGTCAGAATTTCCTTCTTGCGCCAGCGCGGCCTCAAAGGTCAGGGCTCGCCCACTCTCCTGTCGGGCCGCCCTGACCTTTCGTGGGCTCGAGGGGGAAGTTCTCTGTGACATTGGAAACCCGTGTATCAGCTCAGCGTGGAGGCGCAAGCATTTTATCTCCAGTACTCGGGAGTCAGAGGCAGGAGCATGACCGTGAGCTCGAGTTCTGGTGGAGACTGAGTTGCAATGTGGAACAGTCTCAAAAAAAAAAAAAAAAAAATTTTTTTTTTCTAGTTCGGTAAATGTCCCAAAGGCCTTTCTTCTGCCCTGTACCTGCGATTAAATTCAGGGAAGCAAAAAAGATATGAAAACGTTAACTTCACGCTACAAGTGCACGTGTCACAGGCACCGTTTGCTCAAAAGACCTTGATGCGAGAAAGAGATTAAATATGGTGATTGCTTCAACACACCGACTTACTTGAAACTGGGATAAGTTTAGCTTGTACTTCTTTCCACAGTGCATAATGACTTGTCAAATGTTGAGTGAAAAAGTTCGTGGATAGGATGGGGCTGTTCTGAGTAGCTAAGAGGTGTCTTCATGACCAGCATTACAATAGTATATTTTGGTAAATGGTTGGATTTTTTGGCTTTGTTCTGTAAATGTGTGGTGAGAAATGTTTGAGTTGTCATGAGTTACTGGCACTATTAACTAATGCTGGCAGCTTGTATGGTGGGCAGAGTGTGAATTTTGGCATCAGAATTTGAGTTTCCCCAAGAATGCAAGACCTTATACTCATTCTCCTCTACCTCAGTCTTCATATCTGTAAAATGAAAATTATGATACTGTATTAGTTACTTTCTCCTTGCTGTGACCAAGGAATGGAGGGTTTATTCTTGCTTAGAGTTGGAGGGATGTTGATAAAAGGGAGAGCATAAGCCAGAAGCAGAGACATCTGGGAGAGTCCAGAGTGCACATGACCCTGAGCCATGTGAGCAGAGGGGTGGGGGAAAGGGACTAAAGTTAATGTGGGGCACCTGCGCCAAGAGACTGACCAAGAGAGTGCTAGGTTATATAGGGAAGGGCAGCTGGGAGAAGAGCAGCCCAGACCCTGGGATGGAGAGTTTGGGGTAGAGGGCCAGGTATGCCAGCCATACCCTGTGACAGGTAGAGGCTGAAGTGTAGGCAGGCTTTTCTTTCCTGCCCTCCAGTTCCCAAATAACCAACATAGAGATTTAATATGAATTATAAATGCTCAGCTCATAGCTCAGGCTTATTACTAACTAGCTCTTACAACTTAAATTAACCCATTTCAATTAATCTATGTGCTAACCTGAGACTTGTGGCTTTTACCTCTCCTGCATGTCCTGCTTCCTTTACATCTGGCTGGAGACTTCTCAGACTCCACTCTTCTTGTTCCCAGCATCCTCCTAGTCTGGCTTTCCCACCCAATCTCTTCCTGCCCAGCCAGTCAGCTCTTTATTAACCAATGAGAGTAATACATACTTACAGTGTACAAAGATTGTTCCACAGCACTGAGGGATGCTAGGAGAACTTGGTGGCCAGGTCTGCTTGGATTTGTTAAATAGGCACCTCAACCATTTGTCCCAGGGTTTGAGACTTAACAGTCATTGGATAAAAATCAGTGTTGTCTCAGCTCCATTTCAGTTCTTGATGGTGGTGTGGAGATGAGTGTGAACTTCTGTGTGTGAACTTCTGTGTGTGTGCCCTCAGACTATTGTCATGGCCATTGCAACTGCCCCACCACCATTGTTTTCTTGAGTTTATTTCATGCCACAGCAGACAACTAACTTTTTGAGCCTGATGCTAAAAATAAATATTTTTTTTAAAAGGCTTCCTTTTTTTCCCCCCCTTTTAGTACCAGGGTTTGGAATGAGGGAACTCATGCTACACATGCATTCTACCATTTAACTACAACCTCAGCCATATGTTGTTGTTGCTTTGAGACAGGGTCTTGCTAAGTTGCCCAAGCTGGCGTGGAACTTGAGATCCTGCCTCAACTTCTCAGGTGATACTGTCTAGGGATGCAGGAATGGGTTCATATTCTCTGCCAATGAAAGAATTAAAAGGCAAGAAGGATGTATTACTACAAATCTTGGGAAATCTCTATTGAGGACTCTTGAGGGTCCAGCCCCTCAATAGCCCTCTCCCAGGGTCCATGGAAGAATCTGCAACCAGCTGATAATCTAATCTTAAGGATGGCGAATGAATCTATGTACACGAAACTCTTTTTAGTTTATTCACTTTATTTTTCTGAGTCAGTTCTCCCTCTACACAGCTTCTATTCTGCTCTCTTAGCTCCCTTCCCTCTAAGTGCTATCATATTTCCTTCATCTTAGTTCTGCCCCATCTTGGTCTTTCTCATCTCATTCTTAGCCACCTAGTTCTTCCCCATCCGGCTCTTCCTCATCTTCCATCTCATCCTAGTTCTCATCCTCCAATCTAGTTCTCCCAGGTCTCTGAGGTTTACAGTTATATACCCATGCAATAGCAATGCTCTGGCTAAGTCAAGGTCACCAGGCTTGAATTCTTGAGGGTCATCAAGGCAGATAAGAGTTATCCTCGCCGGGCGGTGGTGGCGCACGCCTTTAATCCCAGCACTCGGGAGGCAGAGCCAGGCGGATCTCTGTGAGTTCGAGGCCAGCCTGGACTACCAAGTGAGTTCCAGGAGAGGCGCAAAGCTACACAGAGAAACCCTGTCTCGAAAAACCAAAAAAAAAAAAAAAGAGTTATCCTCAGGCAGTGACTGTCAGGCTTTCTTTTACAACCTCAAATGGGAGTGGTTAAGGGAGGAGGTCAACTAAGAGCTAAAATCGGTTAAAATATCAGAAAAGGGGAATTTATGTGCTCAAACTACATTCTTAGAAGTGGTTAGGTAAAATGTTAGAAGTCTATAATGTTGGTATAAATCATGAGTAAAATAAAACTGCTTATATTTCTTTAGGGCTTTAACTGTCTCAGTAACTCGTCTGTGTCCTTACTGGCAGGGCGGGGATCTCTAGGCAGCTGTGTCTCAGCTTGATGTATCTGGTGTGCAAAAAAACCCCTTTTGTTCTAAGTTAAATGTCAAAAGGGAAGTTCTAGAGATATTGCTAAGGTTGTAAAGGAGGGTCTGAGCTTAATTTGCACAAGAAACAAAGCTATGTACCTAGGCAGTGTCTCCCTATGGATATTTACCTTAATTCAGGAGATCAGCAGTTGGTCTGAAATGCTTATTCTGTCTGCTGTTTGGCCTTGGATACTTGAGAGGTATTTCAGATAAAATACACTGTTAGTATGAGAGGGCACATGAAATTCATAGCAGGAAACAGCTGATACATTAAAAGCCGAGTACTACCAAATACTCCCTGAGATTTGGCTTTTCCTTTGGAAGAATTCCTTGATTCTTCCAGGTATAGCTTTGCCATAGTTAGCTAAATTCTTACTACATTCCTGTGGCTCGGGCAGCAAATCTCTATAGAGCCAGCATATGATCCTGGGGAAATCAGGGTCTCCTCTTCATTACTAAAATAATTTAAGAATGGATTCAAGCGGGCGGTGGTGGCGCACGCCTTTAATCCCAGCACTCGGGAGGCAGAGGCAGGCGGATCTCTGTGAGTTCGAGGCCAGCCTGGTCTCCAAAGCAAGTTCCAGGAAAGGCACAAAGCTACACAGAGAAACCCTGTCTCAACTCCCCCCACCCCCCAAAAAAGAATGGATTCAAACAGAAAGAAGCTTGAGGATCATGTAGTAGAGTTTAAAAGGAAAATCCCAAGACAGGCAAGCTGTTCATCTCAAAGCAGTCTAGAGAGAGAGAGTGGAGAAGATAAGATGGCACAGATGTCAGCGCCTGGCAGACAGCCACACAGTCCAGAGTCAGCTACATGGTGGCAGGGGTCAGCAAATGGCCACAGGTGTCAGCACATGGCCACAGAGGACAGCACATGGATGCAGAGGTAAGCACATGGAGGCAGAGTCAGCACATAGTGGCATGGGTCAATGCATGGAACCAGAGGTTGGTACATAGAGGCAGGGGTCAGCACATAGTGGCATGGGTCAGCACATGGACGCAGAGGTCAGCAATGGAGGCAGGGTCAGCACATGGAGGCAGGGTCAGCACATGGAGGCATGGGTCAGCACATGGAGGCAGGGTCAGCACATGGAGGCAGGGGTCAGTGCATGGATGCAGAGGTCGGCACATGGAGGCAGAGGTCAGCACATGGAGGCAGGGGTCAGCGTATGGAGGCAGGGGTCAGTGTATGGATGCAGAGGTCGGCACATCGTGGAGGCAGCCACACAGTGGGGAAGGAGCTTTAGAAAAGAAGAGGCTGAGTGTTAGGTGTTGTGGGATGTTCTGTATGTCAAATGTGTTGCTCTGACTGGTTAATAAATAAAACACTGATTGGCCAGTAACCAGGCAGGAAGTATAGGCGGGACAAGCAAAGAGGAGAATTCTGGGAAGTGGAAGGCTGAGGCATAGAGACACTGCCAGCCACCGCCATGACAAGCGAGATGTAAGGTACCGGTAAGCCATGAGCCACGTGGCAACTTATAGACTAATAGAAATGGGTTAATTTAAGATATAAGAACAGATAGCAAGAAGCCTGCCACGGCCATACAGTTTGTAAATAATATACGCGTCTGTGTGTTTATTTTATAAGTGGGCTGTCGGACTGCCGGGGCTTGGCGGGACCCAGAGAGAAAACTCCAGCTAGAGTTAGGGAGTTTAAAAGCATAGATTCCGACCAGCATCGGGAAGAGAAACAAGAAAAAGGAGCAGTTTTGCCTTTCTGAGTCGGACTGCACAAGGAGGCAGGAACCCTGGGATGGAGAAGCACAACTTCTCAAGGTGAAGCTGCCTTCCTGGGGTGTCCCCTAGCCAGGTCCCTGAACTGCCACACGATTAACCCTTAAGTGAAGAGACAAGGGCATGTGTCCACCTAAAGGTAGATTTCATTCTTTACAAAAGTACCCGGGATTGCAGGCATGAGCCACATGTCCAGCACCCTCTGGATCTTGAAGCACACCTCTAACAAGTTTCCCGTCTCTGTGTCACTCCAGGTTTCTACACCTTCAAAGCTAAAGGCGCTAGCTCTGCCTTTTCCCTTGGCAGACAGTGAAAAGCCAAGTCATTCTAGAACTCCTAAAACAGTTTCTTCCTAAATCTTTAAACAACGTCAAACATTTGCTCAAGTACAGTGTTGTCTACGTGACTTAACAATTTTAAAAATTAAAAACAAGACAAAACACTCCACTGTCATTGTAAGAATTTCCAGTATGTAAGATTTCCAAAGTGAATCTGTAATGGAGGTCAGCCAATGCATGTGGGGTGTTCAGTCTCCTTCTATAGGAAGGAGAGCACGTGTACTCTGTCTGGGGTTTGCACAAAGTACTGAGAGGTGACAAATGAACTGGCACTTCCCTGTAGGGGGTTGGATGGAGCCAGCTGAGGATGAGTCCCCCCCTCCTTTAAGCTGGTAAAGATATTCATTATAAACTTAGGAGGGGCCAGTGAGAGGGCTTAGCAGGTAAGGTGCTTGCTGCACACCTGATGACCTGAGTTCCATCCCTGGGATCCATGTGGTGAGGAAAGAGCAGACTCCAGCAAGCAATCTTCGCTGACCCTCCACCTGCACTCTGTGGCACAGGCTGAGATGTACACACAAGAGATAAATGTAAACCAAAAATGTAAAATATATATATAATCTAAATAACCCATTAAAGCCGCATTGGCCATGTCAGCCTTGCTCTACTGAGGGTGCAGCAGGCCTTTTATTTTTCGTGAGTTGGTGCATGTGCGTGCAGTGCCCGTGGGGGCCAGAGGGCATTGGATTCCCCTGGAACTGAGAGTGCTGGGAACCAAACCTGGGTCTTCTGCAAATACAGCAAGATATCTTAACCCTTGAGCTGCCTCTCCAGCTCCCAGCTGGGCCTTTAAAAAAAAGTGTTGTGGAAAACCAAAACTCTTGTGACCCCACAGACAGGGTGACCAGGCCTGGGGGAGAGGGACAGGCTTGGGATGACCTGGAACAGAGTACTTGCAGGACAGAGGCAAACAGAGGAGGTGTCACTGTAAGGGGCAAGAAAGGGAAACAGCGCACAAGAAAAGTGATGTAAAACATCTTCCAAAGATGGCCTTAAACTTCGGCCTCCATCTTGCAAGTACTAGGATTACAAACAAGTGTGGGCAACCATGCCGGGCTTTTATTTTCTCTTCCCTTCGTTCTTCATCACGCTCTAGCGCAGCCTGGCCTCGAACTCGTGGCCATTCTCATGCCTCAGGCTCTAAGCATCGCGTTGTCAGGGTCAAACGCGGCAGGCGCCCCGCAGGGGGGACTGTACCATTGGCTGAGGGGAGATGCGCTCGGTCCGCAGTCCCCCCGCCCGGGATGGGCCCGACCGGATGTGACGCACACCGCGGCGGAAGCGAGGAGGCTTGCGCAGCCGCAGCTCAGCGAGTCTGTCGGTGTGACGGGGCCGGGCGCGGGGTTGCCGCGGTACTGAGCGAGGCTTCGCGTGGGTGGAGGAGGCGCGGGTGCAGGTCAGCGCCCGGGAGCGCAGAGGCTGGGTTGTCCGCCCGCCGCCCGGGGAGGGTCCCCGCCGGTCGGCCGGCCGGGCTGGGGGCGGCGGCCGCGGTGCATGCCGGGCCGCGGTGCATGCCTAGCTCTGCACAGCACCCGCTAGGTTACAGCTAGCCGGCATTTACTGGAAGGCTTTGACTAAAGTTGTGGTGCGTGGCGAGTGTGCAGGGAAAACACGCGCAAAGTGCTTCAGAGAGGCGTCTAGCTGCTCCTGTCCGCGCTCCCGAGCGGTCTCACAGGGCTGACTTCATGAAAGGAATTTCCAGCTCTTAATCGTTGATAGTGTGGTCAGAGATTGAGCACCAGTGATCTCCCCCAACCTGGTCCTGAGTTTTTAGCAGTTTGTTGGAACAACAAAAAACCCCTCCAAAATTTACAAGTTTCTAGACTGTGTGTTTGTTTTTTTGACCCGTGAAGTTGATTTTTCTTTTTTTCAGAAAATCACAGTAGTTTAAAAAGTCCGCCTTTCTTAAATCAGTGTGACTGATAGGCAGGGCCCATTATGTGACCTGCCTTTGTAAGAAATTGGGCTTAAGAAAGCGCAGTAAGGGAGAATCCAAACAATACGAACACATGTTAATAATCCCTGCTTTCTGTTTAAAAAGATTGTGTGTGTGTGTGTGTGTGTGTGTGTGTGTGTGTGTGTGTGTGTGTTGCCTGCATGTCATGTATATACGTGCAGTGCCAGCAGCGGCCTGAAGAGGGAGCCAGATCCCCTGGAACTGGAATTACAGTTGTGAGCTGCCATGTGGGTGCTGGAAACTAACTGTCCTCTGCTCTTAGCTGCTGCCCATCTCTCCAGCCCAGCCACTCAGTTTTTCATCCCTGAATTAGAGCAATCGAAACTACCATGGGAGCCAGTATTAACCTAAACTGCTTGCCTCCATTTATTACGACCCGTTCCCTAGAAGATATTACATGGACAACTTTTTAAAGATTTTTTTTCTTTTTCAAGTCTTTAAGAATTAGAAATGGCTTCCAAAAGAGCTCTGGTCATCCTGGCCAAAGGAGCAGAGGAGATGGAGACAGTCATTCCCGTGGATATCATGCGGCGAGCTGGGGTGAGTCCCCCCCATGGGCTAGCCCTCCCTGTTTTAACATGAGGGGACTCTAGGTCACTTTCACTTGTTTATTATGCATGAGCCTGCATCCTGTGGTGCAGATGTGGAGGTCAGATTGTAGGAGTTGGTCTCTCCTTCCACCATGGGTCCTGGAGATTAAGCTAGGCTTAATTAGGCTTGGTGGCAAGTGCCTTTCCCTGCTAAGCCATCTTGCCAGTCCTACTTTATGAGATATTTCAAGTACAAAACTACAGTGATTACATAATAAAACACTAGTTTGTAGTGGCTCAAGATGGCTTTGAATTCTTGGCCATTCTCCTGCCTCAGCTGCCCAGATATCTGGCTTACTGCTGACTTTTAAAACTTGTAGCACTTTGCCTTGTTTCCCACAGCCCTGGGCTCAAGCTGTCCTGCTTCAGCCATCGGAGTGGTTGTGATAACAGGCATGTGCCAGCACACCCCTGGCCTGGGCACTTTTGTTTGTTTCTGTTTTCTAAAGCAAATACTTTCAAGTTTGGGGTTTTCCTGAGTCCCCTTTGTAAGTTCCCGCAGCCCTTGCCCTTCCCCCTTCCCCAGACACGGCTGTTCCTGTGCTTCTGGTCTGTGCTGGCTTCCCGTCCTGTGTGTACATGGAGCAGTCCCGTGTATAACGCAGTGACCAGGGAGTGCACTCATGCTCGCCAGGTTCCCTCTCAGCATTAACTCACACAGACCTGACAGCAGTGCTGACTTAGCTGTCCCTGCTTGTCGCAAAACCCAGGCAGAGACACTCAGCTGTGCTGCTTTCCTGTTGGAGCAGAACTCGGACCCGGGCGGTCTGTCTGCACTCAGCTCTCCAAGGTAGAACTCCAGCTTCCTCTGTCATATTGCTGCACAGTCCTCTGTGCTGTGTGAAGGCCACCGTCTCCCCCTCCGGTTACAGCCTTATGCTACTGGATAGTTAAGATTTTAACTTTCTTCTGTGTATGAATGCTTGCCTGCATGTATGTCTGTACACTCCATGTGTGCCTGGTACCAGAAGAGGCCAGAAGAGGGGGCCTGTTCCCCTGGAGCTAGAGTTATATATAGGTGGTTGTGAGCTGCCATGTGGGTGCTGGGAACCAAATCCAGTGCTCTTACGTCTCTGTAATAAATACTCTTGTGGGGTTCATTTGTGCAAATGTAAGGACAGTTTTTCAGGCTCTGCACCTAAACGTGGGATAGCTGGGCCAAGACTGTTGTGGTCAACATCGCTAGGTTTTGGTAGTTGTCTTCAGTGAGCTAACCTGCTGGCCTCCCAGCACTGTGAGAAACGGCAGTGTTTCGGGTACTGTCACCTAGTAAAGGTTTGGCAGGATAAAGTATTGTTTAATTGTATGACTTTGACTTCTACTTTTGGAAATGACCATGAAGTATAAATGACAGCAGCTGTAGCTGGAGTTTTCCTGCCTGGCCCACAGTCAGGACAAATCTCTGTCACCCGCCAGTCCCACAGCCCTCAGACCCAACCAAGTAAACACAGAGACTTAAATTGCTTACAAACTGTATGGCCGTGGCAGGCTTCTTGCTAACTGTTCTTACAGCTTAAATTAATCCATTTCCATTAATCTATACCTTGCCACATGGCTCGTGGCTTACCGGCATCTTCACATGCTGTTTCTCATCGTGGCGGCTGGCAGTGTCTCTCTGACTCAACCTTCCACTTCCCAGCTTTATTCTCCTCCTTGTCCCACCTATACTTCCTGCCTAGCCAATGGCCAATCAGTGATTTATTTATTGACCAATCAGCAACACACTTGACATACAGACCATCCCACAGCAGCAGTAACCTTGGAAGATGGGTTATTAATAGGGTGACCCTGTAATTCATCTCCCTAACTCAACACTTGTGGGATAGAGGGTGTTCTAGCCAGTCAGAACTGGGGTAGCCGCTCAGCTACAGATCAGGACTATACTGGGTAAACCAGAAGAGACCAGTATTAAATATATTTGGCTTGATATATTAAATGTATCAGCTTGGTTTTGTGGTATTTCCTGACAAGTTACTTCAAACCACAGGATGGGTATTAAGTGTTGCCCTGTCTCTGTACAGTTTCATGGTCTTGAACATCTGTCCTTTTTCTAGATTAAAGTCACCGTTGCAGGCCTGGCTGGGAAAGACCCCGTGCAGTGTAGCCGTGATGTAATGATTTGTCCTGATGCCAGTCTTGAGGACGCAAAAAAGCAGGTTTGTTTTGTATACATGGACTTTTCCTTCTTGGGGCTTATCAGTTTTTATTTAAATGGCTTTTGGCTGTGTCTATGACTGCAGTTAGAACAGACTTACTTTAAGAAAGTGATTCTTGGTGGGGCAGTGAGGGTGCACTCCTTTAATCCCAGCACTTGGGAGGCAGAGCCAGGTGGATTTCTGTGAGTTCAAGGCCAGGCTGGTCTACAGCAGGAGCTCCAGAACAGGGTCAAAAACTAGACAGAGAAACTGTCTCGAAAAACCAAAAAAAAAAAAAAAAAGAAAAAGAAAATGATTCTGGGCAGTGGTGGTATATGCCTTTAATCCTAGCACTCGGGAGGCAGAGCCAGGTGGATCTCTGAGTTCAAGGCCAGCCTGGTCTACAGAGCAAGTACTAGGACAGCCAGAGCTACACAGAGAAACCCTGTCTTGAAAAACAAACAAACAGAATTAAAGAAAGTGATTCTACTTGGATGGGAATGGCTGGATCCTGCGTCCAGTAAGGGGTGGTGGGTGGAGGGTGCATAGATGGCGGCTGAGCGGGAGCGTTGTTCTTCATTGGTATTCTCTCCCAGAGGCCTCCTAACCTTGTAAGTAGGCCTCTACGTTTTCCATTTTCTTCTGTCAGTACTGGTAGTTGAAGCCCAGGCCTTACCCGTCAGGTGAGCTCTCTGCCACCGACCTCCATCCTCATAGTCTCTCCTCCCTGGTAAAGGTTTGTTTTGAGACAGGGTTTTAGAAGGGGAACTTGTTGTGGCTCGGGTAGCCTGGCTTGTGACTGTCTCAGCTTCCTGGGTAGCTGGGTGATGAGCCAGGCTTCTCTACTTTTCTTACGGCAACTGTTGCCTTTCCCCTTGAGTGACAGGTGTAGTTGCGGGAGTCTGTTTATACGGAGTAATGCATACTCGATGAGTGGTTGGATTGAGGGAGAAGTAAGAGCTCTCCTTAAACTGCGTTGCTTTCTCCGTAGTTTACGACGACAGGTACTGTTGGTAATCTCTGGAAGGCTGAGGTCACTTCCTCAGAAGCATGCCTGCCCACTGACCCTTAGATACTACCACAGGTCAGCTGTCATGGCTCAGGGTGATAAGAGATGGGCGGGGCCCTGCAGAGCAGAGACATGGCCGCAAAGGAGGAAGGGCAGGAGTGCAGTTCCCAAGCTCATTACCCACGCTGTCCCCATGCAGGGACGCGTGTTCCTCTCTAAGAAGTTTCAGTATTTCCAGGCTGGTGGGGTGGCTCAATGGTTAAGAGCCCTGGCTGCTCTTCTAGAGGTCCTGAGTTCAGTTCCCAGCACCCACATGGTGGCTCACAACCTTCTATAATAAAATCTGGTGCCCTCTTCTGGCGTGCAGGCATACATGCAGGAGGAACAATGTATATATAATAAATAAACCTTAAAAAAAGAAAAGAAAAGAAAGAAGTTTCAGTATTTCCTTGCTAGATTGTAGATGATTTGACTCTTGGTATCTACATACAAAATCTTAAAAAATTCTAAAAAGTCTGTCTAAGGCAAGAGGTATTTATTCCTTTTTCATTGTTATTTTCTGTCTTGTGTATCTGGGTATTTTAGACAGTGGTTGCCTTGTGAATATGGTTATTTGGTTCATGTCATAAGAGGAGTATGCGATGAGCATGTGGCTCAGTGGGAGAACCCTTGCCCGGCATGTGTGAGGTTGTGGGTTCCAGGCCCGGCACCACCAACATGAACTGAATACTGTTAGGACAGCTTCCCCTCTCCCTCCCTCTCTCTCTCTCTCTCTCTCTCTCTCTCTCTCTCTCTCTCTCTCTCTCTCTGTCTCTCTCTCTCTCTCGTTTATTTTCAGCTAGCTTTCAGACACTAGAATACTGTTATTTCCTCTTGGCAAAGTTTCAGTTTTCATAATGTTAAGTTTTTTCTTTGCCTTTTAATATTGTTTTTCTTTTAGATTTAAAATCACTGCATGTGTTCTTGTTGAAGAACAAGCCGTGTGGTGGGGACATTTCCATATGAAGTCTGAGTGCTGGGCACCTCTCTTCCCTGCCATCCTTCTCACGCTGGTCCCTGTCAGCTGCTGGGGTGTCTTTTGTCTGTGAGCATGTAGAGTGCTCATGTATGTCTGTCCGTTTGTCTGTGTGCGTGAGTGTGGTGGCGCTCCCATGTGTTACAAGGTGCAAGGCTCCACACGAGTGCCTTAGTACTGCGCCTCTCCACACGAGTGCCTCTGCACTGTGCCTCTCCACACGAGTGCATGTGCACTGTGCCTCTCCACACGAGTGCATTTTCACTGTGCCTCTCCCAGGATATCCTTTCATGGATTTCAGGTTATGAGTTTTTCTACACTTTAAAAAAAGAGATTATGGGGCTAGAGAGATGGCTCAGCGGTTAAGAGCACTTGACTGCTCTTCCAGAGGTCCTGAGTTCAATTCCCAGCAACCACATGGTGGCTCACAACCATCTGTAATGAGATCAAATTCCTTCTGGTATGCATGAAGACAGATCACTCATATATATACAATACATGAATAAATAAATCTTTTAAAAAGAGAGAGAGGGGCTGGAGAGATGTCTCAGAGGTTAAGAGCACTGGCTGCTCTTCCAGAGGTCTTGAGTTCAATTCCCAGTACCCACATGGTGGCTCACAACCATCCATAATGAGATCTGGTGCCCTCTTCTGTGTACATAATAAATAAATAAATCTTTAAAGAGAGAGAGAGAGGGATTTTTGTGTGTAACTGTGTTTATCTATCTATATAAGTGAATGCTGTGTCTGTGTACCCACAGAGGCCAGAAGAGGGTGTTGGATCCCCTGGAACTGGGGTTATATGGAGTTGTGAGCCGCCATGTTGGTGCTGGAACTGAACTCTAGTCCTCTACAGGAGCACCAGGAGTTCTTAACTGCCGAGCCGTTTCTCCAGTCCTCACAGCTGCATTTTCTTGTTACAATGTTCCACCATAGGGATATACCTTTATTTATTTGTTTGATTTTTGGTGGCTTTTTGTTGTTTTGAGACATCGTCTTCTCCTGTATACCTGGCTAGCCTCAAACTTAGTAGCTGAGGGCAGCCTTAAACTCTCAATCTTCCTGCCTCTACATCCTCTACATCCTCCTTCAGGTGTGCACCGCTATGCCTGCCACGTATTATTATTTTTAGTGTTGGAGACTCACCCACAGTCTCACTTGTGCTAGAGTGTGCTCTACCAAGAGATGCATGTATATATCCCACCTCCATGGGCATGCTGCTGTTTTTTGGAAGACAGTGTGTCTTCAGATACGAAGCTGTTACTGGGCTGCCATTTAACACAGTAGAACTAAATTGTTCCCTTTTATTTCCCTACTCACAGGGACCATACGACGTGGTGGTTCTTCCAGGAGGCAATCTGGGTGCACAGAACTTATCTGAGGTAAAAACTGCTCAGCCATGCCTCAGTGAAGGGCTTCTGAAGAAAGTCCTGCAGCTTCTGCTCTGTTCTGCTGTGTTGGTTCTGGGGTGCTCAAGGGATAGTGCTGTAGCTGCAGCAGAAACAGCTGAAGTTAGCTGAGTGCTGCCTCCCATTGCAGAGCACAGTTCTAAGAACATCTCCTGCAGAAGTAAACTGAATTGCTGGAGCAGCTGCTGCAAACAGGCTCAGTGCATGTAGACTGGAGTGAGCTGCAAATGTCCCAGCTGCCTGCTCTGTGGTCGGGGTCGAGGGCAGCCCCGGGGCCAGAGGCAGTGCTGCCCTTCGTCTTAAGCCCTGAGTGAAGAGCCACACGGGAAGGCAGGAGTAGGGAGTGGGCTGTGAGCAGGCGGGGCCAGGCAGTGGACTTTTCCTGCTGGGGTCTTTCCCCTCTGCCCTCTGAGCTGCTGAACCCTGTGTCCCCTTGCTTCTGCCCTCCCAGAGCACAGGACAGGGCTCTACGCCCTGGTGACACTGCTTTACCCTGCTCAGCTTTATTGAGGTAGGCCTTCCTCTCGGGGTGAATGCTGCTGCCCGGGCTTGAGAACACAAGCGTTAGGGACCTGGTGCTTTCCTGTTTACTGACTAGAAAGTTTTTCTGGAAACAGCTGGAAGTAAGTTACGCTATGAGGGATGCTCCCAGCTCTCTCTGAGGCTCCGTGGTGACTGGGTGTTTGTGTTCTCTCTAGTCATCTGTGGTGAAGGAGGTCCTAACGGAACAGGAGAGCAGGAAGGGCCTCATAGCTGCCATCTGTGCGGGTGAGTAAGTGCGGCGGACTGTGGAACACGCAGCTGGCCCAGGGGCTGGCCTGCCTGGAAGCTTGATTGCACATAACCTGCCTTCGTGAACCAAAAGGCACCCACCCTGTGTGTTTAGTGTGGGTGCCATGAAGGGTCGTTGCAGCACTGAGCGTGATTGTTGAGCGTTCTGTCTCTCTGTGCTCTGGGTCTCTGTCTGTGAAACTCACTGTTTTCCCTGTTTGGTTGACCTGGGGAAAAGGTCTCTGGAATCCAGCAAACAGCTTGATCCATCAGATCTGGGGGCCAGCCATTCGGCCTGCCAGGAGAGTCAGCTCTAGCCGGGGCTCTCCTGCCTCTGGCTTGCCGAGTCTTTGCTCGCGTACTCTTGAACACCCATGGCTTCATGTAAGGTCTTCTGGCGTTTCGCCCGTGTTGTGAGCCTTGAAACTGTAACCATCGCTTCTTTAAACACCGTCCCGTGGCTCTAGGATCCGGCGATGTTCTGGCATCGGGATCAGTGCTGTGACTTTGGCCAGTGTCTCCCTTGTTGGATATTTTTACGTGTGTCACAGAACAGATGAATCTGTGACGGAACGGACGGACGGTTTTGTCCAGGGACCGAGGGACTCTGTCCTAGCTGTGGGACACAGCAGATCCTGCAGGAGCATCTGTCCCTGTTTCTGTCTGCTGCTTACTGGAATAGCATGAGGCTGTGAATGCCATCCTTCAGGCAAGACATTGTGCTCTGGTCTCCTGTTGGAAGTGTTCCCAGTTTGGGGATGGCTGTGGAGACTGACCTGTAATCCAGAGGATGTAGAAGTAGGTTCATGAGTTCAAGACCAGCCTGAGTTACATAGCAGGAGCCTCTCTCCAAAGAAGAAAAGAAAAGGGGGAAAGCATAAGTGGGGGAAGTTCTGATGTTCCCAGTTTGGGGCAGAAAGCGTAGCTCAGGTGGAGAATGTGCCTAGCATGTGTGGGGCCCTGGGTTCCGTTACCACCCCTGAAGACAGACAGGCAAAACCATTCTTGATCTGTGACTTGACACAGCAGTGGGTATCGCCCATGTAGAAGTTGTGGGGATCCCTGCATTGCCTGCTTGAGAACCATTACAGACCTAGTGGGAGCACCTAGGCATTGCTCTGGACACCTTGTCCTGGCTCCTACTGCTCTGATTTCCTGCTCTGCTGAGGCCCAAGGATTTCTGTTGGTTGATGGTCCTGCAGTCCCCGCAGCCTTGAACTGTCCCTCTGTGGGCAGGAAGTCACAGGTGTCCTGGTGTTGTTCACTAATCTGGGAGACAGCCTCCTTAGGGTTTTCCTGGGCTTGTTCCTTGTGACTGGGCTGAACCTAAAATGTGGTGTCATCATGTTCTTCCGCGTCACTGAGTAGAACATTGCCAGCTTAGCTGGCTCACTGGCTTCTGCTGAGGCAAGCTGGAATGCCTGTCCCTCTGTGAATCAAACAGACATTAAAAAAGAAACAGTGCTCACCAGCAGTGTGCTAATTGCATTGACTCTTCTGGGCCCCCCTCCTGGAAAAATGAACAGAAAACCAGGGTAGCTCAGGCAGGGAACGGTGAGGGAAGAGACAGGTGCTTCCTTCAGCCAACAAGATGTCAGGGTAGTCTGGTGTTTGGGTCAGGGATCGGGTACTGTGTTTAAACTCCCTTTTTAGCTTCATCCTTGATAGTGCTGAGTAAAGACAAAAGTCATCTCGGGAGTCTTTCCTGGGAAGAACATACACGGAGCTTTGCTTTGAGTCAGGGATAGAGAAGGAGGCTTGCAGGGTGAGGAGTCCTGTCAGGGTGTCACCAGGAACCAGCAGACCCAAGGCATTCCAGTCGGCTGGGTGTTCTTTTTCAGGTGTCCACCAGGTGGCACTATAGGAAGAGGGCTCTGTCAGCTGCTTTCAGCTCCCTGCCAGTTCCTAGCGCTAACTCTTGGCATATCCTTCATCAGAGTCTCGGATAATGGCAGTAATAAGTTTGTCTTGTCTTAATTTTCAAATCAGGCTTTTGACACACACCCCTCCCCGACTCCTAGAAAGCAGTAGTTAGGAGCTTACCATGACAGGGAAGGCAGCCATGCATCCTGGCCCTGATGCATGATGCAACAGTGTTGCTACCTCCAGAAAGCAGCCTTCAGACCTGACTGACCTGGCTGAGCTCCTCCCTCAAGGTCAGTGGCTGAAGCTTGCTGCCACGTAGAGGATGTCTAGGATTCTCAGTCCAGATCTCTAATAAGAATCTGAGAGGTACATAAAAGTGAATGGTAGCCAAGCATGGTGGTACACACGTTTAGTCTCAGATCTTGGGAAGCAGAGTTAGGCATAACTTTGTGAGTCTGAGCCAGCCTGGTCTACATGGTGAGTTCTGGCCAGCCCGGGCTACATAGTGAAACTCATTTGTCTTAAAACAACAAACATATGAGTGGTAATCATTCCATTTTTCTAGACTTTGGAGGTTTTCTGCCCTCCACAGCTGTCTTGTGTAGAGAAGACATGAGGTGGAGAAGGCTATGTATTTGACACTTAGACTCAAGAGGTTACTCTGAGCTTGGTCTGGTTCTGAGGCCTGAACAGTGGTGTTCTGTGCTGGCTCCTGCTGTCGTGGCTGTGGTGAGTGACTGGGTCTGGAGCTCCCGTTCCGAGGAAGCTGGAGAGAGAGTCAGCTGCCGAGTAAGAGCTCACAGACGGGTGAGGTCAGGTGCTGTTTTCATCCGGGTGTGACACGGCTTAGAGGGGAAACGCAGCAGAAGCTCTAGGTTTTAAGAGAGTAGCGACAGGAAGACCTGTTTTTAGTCTATGAAGACTTACCCATGGTGTATACTGTGAGCATCTCTGAAGTCAGCCATTTTCACTGAAGACTGTTACACACGGTATATACTGTGAGCATCTCTGAAGTCAGCCATTTTCACTGAAGACTGTTACACACGGTATATACTGTGAGCATCTCTGAAGTCAGCCGTTTTCACTGAAGACTGTTACACATGGTATATACTGTGAGCATCTCTGAAATTGGCCGTTTTCACTGAAGACTGTTACACACGGTGTATACTGTGAGCATCTCTGAGGTCAGTTGTTTTCAGTGAGCACACTGATGATAGACAGGTTGGTCCTCATGTTTCAGAGCTCATTGTAAGAGGCGGGGCCTTGGGTATCATAGGCTGACAGTGTGCATGGTTTTTCACATCAGTAGTTTCAAAAAGGACCCAGTGTCTTTGTATCTCAGACTCTAGCCCAGGAATTTCCTGCAGGGCACATCTGGGCCTCCATCTTGATCCTGCCAGCTGTTGTGTTTGTGTGGAGGTGAATGACTTCATTTTACACTTTGAAGTAGAAAAGAACTGTTATGAAACAGCAACAAAATGTGCATGTTTTGGCCCCGATGCCATCACCACAAAACTAACTCGCTCCTTTCTAGTCAGGCAGGAACTAGACAGACAGGCCAGTGGTCAGCAGACAGGCATGATGGCCCACAGCCATGTGGACCTGCAGTCCCTTGCAGCAGAACACCTACGCACAGAAAAAGAGGAAGGCGAGAGTGTGTGTAGCGGGGCAGCCTCTCACCTGGGTGCTCCGGCACACAGGCCCTGTTCCTCGGGCTGTTTGTCTCTTTGCTCTGCGGTATTGAGGGACGTTTTGGGTAAACAGCTGTTGAAGTTTGTGTGCCTCTCCAGATATGTTCAGTACAGGCTCACCACGGACACGCCTCCTGATTGTGTTTAAGCAATGCTATTCAGAGTCGTGAACTATGTGGTCCTGACTGGCCTGGGACTCACAGAGATCCCCCTGCCTCTGCTTCCCAAGCCCTGGGATCAAAGGCGTGTGTTACCACCATGCCCAGCGATGCTACAGGTCGTAAAGCACAGGTTTTCTGTTTGCACCTTTCATCTCTCCGTTTGTTCGTTCGTTTGTTTTTTGAGACAGGGTTTCTCTGTGTAGTTTTGGCGCCTGTCCTGGATCTCACTCTGTAGACGAGACTGGCCTCGAACTCACAGAGATCCGCCTGGCTCTGCCTCCCGAGTGCTGGGATTAAAGGCGTGCGCCACCACCACCACCCGGCTTTTTTTTTTTTTCTTTTCTTTTTTTTAATGTATATTGGTGTTTTTGCCTGTGTGAGAGTGTCGGGTACCCTAGAACTGGAATTAGAGACAGTTGTGAGCTACCATATGGGTTGCTGGGAATTGAACCCAGGTCCTCTGGAAGAACAGTCAGTACTCTTAACCACTAAGCGATCTCTCCAGCCCCAGTTTTCATCTCTTTATTCATCTTATTCCTAGGTCCGACTGCTCTGCTGGCTCATGAAATCGGTTTTGGAAGCAAAGTTACAACACACCCAGGGGCTAAGGACAAAATGATGGATGGAAGTGAGTATGCACGGGAGACCTGAGGGGCATGTGTGTGCATGTGTGTGTGTGTGTGTGTGCGTGCGTGCGTGTGTGTGCGTGTGTGTGCGTGCGTGCGTGTGCGTGTGTGTGTGTGTGTGTGTGTGTGTGTGTGTGTGTGCGCGCGCGCGCATGTGGAGGTGCTGTGACATGACATGGCGCACGGGAATCCCCTGGCCATGTGTGGCGGCCTTGCCTCCTTTGCATGTACTTCTCAGCTGGTGCTCGCACAGGCTGGTACACGGAGATGCCAGTCTCTGTTTGGAGGCACCAGATCCCCGATTGTCCAAATGGGAAGGATTATGAAATGCCAGTTTAATGATTATTTTTACTGAATGCCTTGACAGCAGCCCAAGTGTAGCTAGAGTTTTCCTGCCTGGCCCACAGTCAGGACAAATCTCTCTCACCCGCCAGTCCCACAGCCACTCAGACCCGACCAAGTAAACACAGAGACTTATATTGGTTACAAACTGTATGGCTGTGGCAGGCTTCTTGCTAACTGTTCTTATATCTTAAATTAATCCATTTCCATTTTAATCTATAGCTTGCCATGTGGCTCGTGGCTTACCGGCATCTTCACATGCTGCTTATCATGGCAGCGGCTGGCAGTGTCTCTCTGACTCAGCCTTCCACTTCCCAGAATTCTCCTCTCTCCTTGTCCCGCCTATCCTTCCTGCCTGGCCACTGGCCAATCAGTGTTTTGTTTATACAGAACGATATCCACAGCACCCAAGGGTACAATTTAAACCCTGATGGAAGTTCAACAACCGTCCTTTTACCCACAGGCTGCAGTGAAACAGACCTTCAGAGAATGTCTCTGGTGGCAGACCAGCTTCTTTGGTCACATGCTTCTCTTCTGAGTATCAGCTAGGCATATTTAATTGTTGTTTTGCTTTTTGTTTTGTTTTTCAAGGCAGGGTTTCTCTGTGTAGCTCTGACTGTCCAGGAACTTGCTCTGTAGACCAGGCTGCCTCTGCCTCCTGAGTATTGGGATTAAAGGCGTGTGCCACCATGCCTGGCACGTTCCTACTTTTATCTCCACAGCTGGGCCTGCCCACATCAGTCACCAAGGAAGAAGATACTCTGTAACATCTTCTCAACCTGTGGGGTTGTGACCCTTTGGAGTTGAACGACCCTTTCACCGGGGTCGCCTAAGACCCCCGGAAAACACAGACATTTACATTACGATTCATGACAGTGGCAAAATTACAGTTACGAAGTAGCAGTGAAAGTAATGTTATGGTTGGGGTCACCACAGCGTGGGGAACTGTATTAAAGGGTCGCTGCATTAGGAAGGCTGAGAACCACTGCTCTGCAGCCTCGTCTACAGGCCAGTCTTATGGAGGCATTTTCTCAGCTGAGAGTCGCTCTTCCCAAGTGACTCTAGCCTGTGTCCAGCTGACCGAGAAGTGGCACAAGGCTTCTTCCGCGTGTTCTTAGCTTTGTCTTAACTTTGTCACTGAGTGCTGAAACCCTTGACTCGACTTCAGTTGTGAGGAGAAGGAGAACGTCAGTAAAACTGAGTGGACATGAGCGTGTGATGAAGCTCTGGCTCTTGGGTTATGTTGTAAATGAGGAGCTGAGTTTGTGCTGACTTCATGAAATGAGGTGAGGGTGGGAAGAACGGCGGCACTGAGGCCTGTACTGTGCCGGCACACCGTGTTTGGGGACGAGCAGGAAGAGCTGGTCCTGTGTCACCTGAGCTGTGGCTCTTGCATCCCTTTCCTTTTCCTGCTGCTGAGAGCTCACAGTGGGGTCCCCGAATTTATACAGTGCCCCCAGCTCGCCTGGAGCCTACAGTTCCATGGCAAGCCAGGTGGCCTCCTCCTGCCACCCAGGCTAGAACACCGAGGCTCAAAGGCCAGCTGACCAGAGTTTCCCCGTCCCCTCCCCTCCCCTCCCACCCCTTCCCTTTCTGTACTACAAGGCTCCCCTGCCCATAGGTCATTGCTAAGCACGAAGTCTGTAAATCCTGTTTTTAGGACGCTGTTTGACCTTTGTGTGCCTTGAAAGCATTCTGGAAGGGCTGTAGTGTCCTCCACATGACTGTTCTAGGTGAGGCCTTCTGCTGTTTGACACATTTGACAAACCTGTGTGAATTTTCCCCCTGGAAAGGAGAATGGCTTCCTCGGCATTCCACGGCAGTGGCAATACTCAACTGTGTGTTGGGTGGGTGCCATTCTACTACACGGCTTAGAGAAGTCAGCCAGCTCTGAAGGTCAGGCCACAGGGACCGGACCCCAGAGCCACTGCACAAGAGCAGGCAGCAAGGACTGGGGCTCTCTGGGCTTCAGGTCTCCACGGTAACCGCCCCACACTGGTGTTCCCCAGCTGTCATAGACAAGGCGGGAGTAGTGAGTGCCTTTCTGCATATGTCTTCATATGTGCACACGCAGGCGGCAGCCTTCAGTTGCTACCTTGTCTTCTGCCTCTCCACTTGCCTTTTCTCTGAGAGATTTCTTCCAAGTATCTACAAATTCACCCTGAACTCACAAATCCCAGCTGACCTCATTTCCCAGGCTCCATAGCAGCCCTGGCGGCAGTAGTGTACTTTCTGAGGCCGTTCCTCACTGTGGCCACTAGATGGGGCTGTTGACCTTTAAATCTAGTCAGGCCCATTTGGGTTTCCAGTTTATCATCTAAAATAAAATGTCCTGGCTGGTTTAGCTGTCAGAGTAGGTCCCGGTAAACTGAAACTTCCCTTCAAGTAGTGGCCCTGTTTTCTTACTGTAGTACAGATGAGGAGCTTCTGATTCACTGCAACTGCTTATTTCAAAGGATGGGTTGAGTTTTGAATGAGGCAGGAAGCAAGCTCCTGTTGTGGCTGGCCCACTTGGAGGAGAAGCGTGCTTCTGAGGGTTCTCAGTGAACTCTGGATGCCCTTTGCTCTTCGTCCCAGCAGAAACAGTAGACATGAGGCTATCTATGCCCAAGCATCTCATGTTGGTGGTTCCCAGTGAGCTGGGTGTGGAGGGCCATGATCAGCATGTGCTGCTGCACGTCTGCCCCTCACTGTCAGCTGTGCACGTGCACACTTGACCCTTTAGAGGAGCCCTTGAAGTCCCCACGTGCGTCTCCTCCATAAGGTTCTGTTCCAAACTTCCCCTTCCTCTCTCTGCCTCTGTGCTGAGCCCAGAGAGCCTGGCACAGGGTCTCCCATGGATGCCTAAGAGTGGGTCCTCTGCACTGTGCAGTTTGGACAGTGCCCTTGGTTCTGAGGGGGATAGAACCACCAGGGGGTGATGTTGGTGCAGAGCCCTCCTTCGGTGGTGGATAGACTGCCATGGGGAACTGAGTCAAGGAACTTTCACCCTGGTCTGAAACCTGCTTCCGTGCTCTGGTCAGACACTTTGAATAGCAGATGATAAACAAAAGAGCAGTTGACAGCTGGTGCTGGAGGGGATGAGGAGGTGCTGGGACAGGGGCAGGCCCCAGCTGTGGGAGGTCAGCAGGCCTGCTCCAGGGCCACACTGAGTCAAGACCCAAGGGCCAGATGACGGGAACACAGCGAGGCTAACTGCAAGGAAGCCCTGGATTGGAGGGCGAGGGTTACAAGATGAGTGAGGATGGCCTGGAGGGCAGGTGTGACACGGAGAGCCTGGTCCTGTTGTAGCAGAGACAGATTGGGGGAGGAGAGCTGGGGTCCTGGTGAGGGTACCCACGTTGTCTTAGTTGCTCAGCATAGCAGGTGGCAAGCAGAGGAAGAGAGCCTGTGGTGCTGGTGTCTGCCTCCCAGCTGCAGTCCTGTGTGGTCTGTGGCCGCAGAGGACGGGGCTCTACCTGTGGGTCAGCCAGTTTCCGTTCTCATCCCTGCACTGCCCTGCCTCTGCTCCAGCACCCTGCCTGGCCCGATGCTGAGGCCTTCCTGGTGGCAAAGTTCATCACCAGTGCCCCTCAGAGTTGTCTCCCCCACTTGTACCCATTGCCCCCCTCCACCCACCCCTGCGGTTGCTTTCCCATAGCTTGGAGGGCTTAGCAGCAGATAGCCACAGCATGCGGCCTTGTGTCATCCACTCTCGTAAGACCAGAGTCGGTAGCAGCAGTGAGCGGATGGTGCCGTCTGACAACTGTGTCTGTTCCCTGTAGGTCACTACAGCTACTCAGAGAGCCGTGTGGAGAAGGACGGCCTGATCCTCACCAGCCGAGGGCCTGGGACCAGCTTCGAGTTTGCGCTGGCCATCGTGGAGGCGCTCATCGGCAAGGAGATGGCTGACCAAGTGAAGGCACCGCTTGTCCTCAAAGACTAGAGCCCGCGCTCGAGGCAGCCGCTGGAAGCCAGTCCCCAGCCTCGGCCCGCTCGTGTGTCAGAAGCCAGTGAGCCTTGGGAAGTAGCATGGGAAGTAGCTGCCACATGGGATCTCACCCTGAGCCTGGGTCTGTACATTTCTAAACATTGCTAGTAGAATAAACAGTTGACCACCTCTGGCAGCTGCTTTTGTGTCCGGCTTCTTCTGTGATCTGATGGGCTGCATTCGCAGGTGGTCACTGTTGGTGCAGCCCAGAAGGAGCTGCAGAGCCCTTCCCCAGCTGGGAGGGGTGCACAGGCAAGGTCCATGAGGCGGTTTCTCCCATCCCCTGGTGCTCTTTCCTCACATACGGTGAAGTGTCAGTGGAGGTGGGGGACTCCTGTCCCTCTTTTTTACCATGGAGACATCTTCTGAAGGACACAAGCTTCCTGGGGCTCCTGCATCAACTCTAGGGTGAGATGAGAGCACATGTGCATCCCTAAGTACCACTGGGCTCCCACCTCGGAGGAAGACATGCTGAGGATATGCCTCATCTGCCCTGACCACAGAGCCCAGGCTAGGCCGGTCAGTGGACAGACTCAGCTTGGATTCTTTCTGTCTCTGTCTCTGTCTCTGTCTCTGTCTCTCTCTCTCTCTCTCTCTCTCTCTCTCTCTCTCTCTCTGCTGAGGTGGCCAAGAAAAAACAGAGATGGCGTGCTGACGGCCATCTTGTCACTGTGAGGAAAGAACACACCTGCAGTCTGGAGATGGACTTGGACAACTCCTGGTCTACAAAGCAAGGCTGGAAACTGCACTATTGTTTGTTTTGTTTCAAGACAGCCTCACTGTGTAGCCCTGGCTGTCCTTGAACTAGCTTTAGACCAGGCTGGCCTTGAGCTCAAAGATCCACATGCCTGAACTAGCTTTAGACCAGGCTGGCCTCAAACTCACAAAAATCCACATGCCTCTGCTTCCCAAGTGCTGGGGCTACATGCATGTTTTGATAAACACTAGTAAAGATAATGTGGAGAATTCTGAGGAGAAAGAACAGGAGACTTGGTTTACATGCTGGGCTGAGTGCCAGGCCAATGAAATTTATGATATTAAAGACCACACTTAACAGGTTAGGCTGGGTGTGGCAGTCAGTGCACTGGTGTGAGCCTAGTACTAGGAAGGCTGAGGCAGGAGGATCACCACAAGTTCAAAGCTCTCACAGACCAAGCCAAGGCTACATACAGCAGAACCTTTTCACTCAGCTCCCTATCTACCAAAGACTAAAATGTGTCAAGCCCTGTCACTGGTGGGCTCTGTCCTTACAGAGCCTAGTTGTGGGAGAGGGACTGACGAGAAGGTACACAGGTGTGTCCTGTGGAGAGAAAAGAAGCTGCCTACCTGCTAGCAAAGGCCTCTCTGGTAAGGGCTCTGAGAGTTGAAGAACAGGCAGGGCTCTCTTGAGAGACTTCAGGCATAAGACAAAAGGTACAGAGGCCCTAAGGCAGGCCCTTGCTTGGGGTTGGGGAAGAGGGAGGGGTTCCAGGGGGAGGAGGACTGGGGGAGGGGGAGCAGGGGGGGGTAGGGTGAGGAGGACTGGGGGAGGGGAAGCAGGGGGGGCAGGGTGAGGAGGACTGGGGGAGGGGAAGCAGGGGGGAGGAGGGAAAGTGGGGGGCAGGGTGAGGAGGACTGGGGGAGGGGGAGCAGGGGGGAGGAGGGAAAGTGGGGGGGCAGGGTGAGGAGGACTGGGTGAGGGGGAGCAGGGGGGAGGAGGGAAAGTGGGGGGGCAGGGTGAGGAGGACTGGGGGAGGGGGAGCAGGGGGCAGGGTGAGGAGGACTGGGGGAGGGGAAGCAGGGGGGGCAGGGTGAGGAGGACTGGGTGAGGGGGGACAGGGGGGAGGAGGGAAAGGGGGGGCAGGGTGAGGAGGACTGGGGGAGGGGAAGCAGGGGGGACAGGGTGAGGAGGACTGGGTGAGGGGGAGCAGGGGGGGCAGGGTGAGGAGGACTGGGTGAGGGAAAGGGGGGGCAGGATGAGGAGGACTGGGTGAGGGAAAGGGGGGGCAGGATGAGGAGGACTGGGTGAGATGCCTGAGCCTGTGGAGGAGCCCCTGTTGCTAGGATTGCCACAGGCTGTGCCACGGAGCCAGCAGAATCCCTGGCCACCAGTGCTAAGGCAGGGCTAATGGCAGTGGAGGGTGTTCAGTGACTGAGGGACAGGAAGGGCAGTGAGAAACAGTTTTCACGTTTTTTTTACTTGAACAACAACAAAAAAGTCAATTTACTCTTATGAGCTGGTAAATAAAGGAGATGGCAGGGTCAGGGTAAATTTGAATTTCAGCTTGGAATTTGAGGTACCTGTAAAATATACTTCACATGATAAGGAAAGCCAAAGCCCAGGGGTGGTGGCCAACACTGTAATTCCAGACCATGAGTTTGAGACCAGCCTGGCTCACACAGTTCCAGGCCAGCCTGGGCTAGAGTGAGACCCTTGTCTTGGGACACCTCCAACCCTATTGTTGATCATGACCATGCTCAGGTTCCCAAGTCTTCCACGTTGCAGCCCCCACCTCTGCATGGTTTCCTGGAAAGACCCCCCATCTACAGGGGGATCCTGGGAGAAGTGACCCTCATCCGGTCCATGCCCTGGAGCAGTGGCAGGTGACTGGGCAAGCCAGCTCTGAAAGAGGGCTTTGAGAGGAAGATGTATCAGCCTGCACATCTGGAGTGAAGGTTTCTCCCATGGAGTGTGGAGTGGGGCTCCAGGAAGCTGTCTCATCAGGCCCTCAGGTCTGGCTAGCTGTAGCTGCTAGCTCTGGGCTTGATAAGATTCTAGCCCTTAGGCTGCTCTGCCTGCCATGCTGGTCCAGCCGGCTCCTCTCCAACAGGTGGCTGGGGACCCGGAACTGAGGGGGTGGGGGTGGGCTGTACATATGGAAGGGTGGCCTGGGGTGAGGCATGGGGTGTAGCCAGTTAGTGGGCTGCCTCTTTCTCAGTCTGGAGTCACTCAGAGTGACTCCACCTTGGTGTGTATGTGTGTGTGCAGTTTCTTTTTCTTGTAAAAGTTTATTCATCTCAAAGAGAGCTGTAGCTGACACTTTTCGGGCCTGCTCTGAGGGCTGCTGAGAGGCAGGGCAGTGAGGACCAGCCCTTCTTTTCTGGGTGCAAAGTGGTACCCCAAAGGAGGGCTAGGTTCACAGCACTTTTGTACCCGACACCTAACAGTGGCCCCTTCTGTTGGGAGTGCTCTTGGTACTAATTTCTTCCTCTTGGTTTTGTAAAGATGGCTCACAATGCTCCTGCCTCAGTCTGAGTGCTGGTGTGCCTCGACATGCTTCATCTTTCTTCCATATTTTGCACAGAATAGATACCACACAGTTCTGCATTTTCTCTCTGCTTTTTCACTGACTAAAACCCAGAGAGGGGGTTGGGGGCTTAACTCTGTTGGGAGAAAGCTTACCCCTATGCACAAAACCCAGGTTTGATACCCAGCACCACAAAACACACACACACACACACACACACACACACACACACACAAGGGTGGTGCACACCTCTAATCCAGGGTGTCCTCTACCGTGGTGTGTCTTAAATGCCAAAGGCCTCAGGATGTAGCAAAGCACATTTCTGAAGACACTTAGGGTACAGTCAACAGTGTCAGCCTGGGGTCTGATCCCCCATTCCATGTTCCATTGACGGTTCACTCAGGAGCAAAGAGAATATAAACTTCTGGAGCTCATTCTGCCGAAGCCTCTGGGTGGTTTTAGGAAGTATCTCATCTTTGCCTGGGTGAGTGGGCAGCAGCGGGGTCTCAGTCCCTGAGGAGCAGGAGCTGGCCAGGCTCACCCAGCCTGTGGTGTAGGCCAGCTCCTTCCCTTGAACCCCCGAGTGGGACCAGAGTGTGAGGGCCGAGGGCAGAAGCTCAGCTGGGGCCTGCGAAAACCTTTGCCGGTCCCCAGTGTGGTCTTGGCACGGAGCCCTGAGGTGTTCTGACCGGTACTGAGCAAGAGCTTCGTGAAACACTGGGAAGGGGGGAAACTCCACCTTCACCACTGTGCTCACGAACTTTTATGTCAACCTGACACAAGCTAGTCATTTTGGAAGAAGGAACTTCAGTTGAGGAAACGTCCCCACCAGACTGGCACCTGTGGACAAGCCTGTGGTGAATTTTCCTGATTGATGGCTGATGTAGGAGGTTTCAGCTTGGTGTGGGCGGGACCACCCCTAGGCTGGTGGTCCTGGCTTCTATAAGAAAGCTGGCTGAGCAAGCCAGTAAGCAGCACCCCTCCATGGCCTTTGAATCAGTTCCCACCTCCAGGTTCCTTCCCTGCTTGAGTTCCGCTCCTGACATCCTTCAGTGATGGACTAGGCTGTGGAAGTGTAAGCTGAATCAACCCTTTCCTCCTCAACTTGCTTTTGGTCACGGTATTTTATCACAGCAACAGAAACCCTGACTAAAACAAATTGGTCCCAGGTTGTGGATTATTGCTGTGACAGACCTGACTGTGTGTTCGGGGAGGATTGTGGAAGGACTTTGGAATTCCGGCCTGGAAGAGTGCTCAGATCTGTCTCAGCAGGCTGTTCTGTGGGGCTTGGCAGATGAAAGGATTATGCTGAGAGCAGGGCAGACCATGGCTTGTGAAGTTCCAGGGAAGCTTGAGAGTCGCCTCAAGACTGTCTGGGCCACTGCATATTTTGAGTTAAGAATCTGTGGTTCTGGTCAGCTGGGGCTGAAGAATGAGCCATAGTTGACAAGAGACCAGAACCACCGAAGTGAAAGGATCGGCACCGATCGGCCAGCGCTGAGAAGTTAACCGTGGTTAAGAAGAGGGTCGTGGGGGATGGTAATCTGGAAGCACTTCCTCAGGTCAGCACACAGAAGCTGTGGTCCAGAGGGGCCCGAGGCTGCAGCTCATGTGTCAACTGAACTCGGTAATGTGTCAAGTCGCCCAGGTGATGCTGGTTTTGGAAGCATGACAGAGTCCTGGGGAACAGCTGAGGCTTGGCGCTGTGTGGCAGAGCTGGAGTCCCTGAAGAGAACCCAGGGGAGGCTGTTGGTGAAGGTGCAGTCTGGGGGCAAGAGAAGCCCCAGCATTAAAGGGATCATGGAGAGAAGTGGAGGCTTGGAACCATGTGGCAGGGTCAGACTTCCTAAGAGAGCCCGGGAGAGGCTGTGGGTGACGATACAGCCCAGGTGAAGAGATCCCAGTATTT